ATTTGCCATTTGCCTGTTTGCGTTTTAATTAACTTACACCGGCTTAATGAACTTTGCAGGCCTTTAGCCGGAACCCAATCCCAAAAGAGGCTGCTTATTAGCTCTTGACATGGTTCCATGACCGTCTCATTGTGCTCCGGTTATTTACTGGGCCATTTGCAGATGTAATTGTTGTGGCGCACATTCGATCTGGATGGCCAACACCTTGGCCATTGGGCTTAGGGCACTCCGTAAGCGGCTTAACAGCTGAGCTCTTGATATCCGCTGGGGATAAGCCGGTGTAATTGGAAGAGGCTTAACATTATAAATTTTCTCAAATAACAGTAATTTTTTACTAAGTAAAATATAAACTGCTATTTTATTAATAATTAAAATAAATATATTTATATTTGTCAAATTTTTCTCTTCCAATTCCAATTTTACATACAACAACTTGAATATATATTTTTTATAAAGAGCTTTAAGACTGTCACTTATTTTAAATTATTACCAACTAGAGCTTTTCCGTTAATAAAATATATTTATTTGATTAAATAGCTTACCAAAATTATAAAATCCATAAATCTTAAAGGATAATTATTTTATTCAGTAATCTCTGGTTACGTATATATATTAAATAACGAACAAATTAAAATGTCATTAGGGTCTACTCTGGCCACAAATTCTCTGCTTGGCTACGTAAAAATTTAATATAGCTCATTTTTATAATGGAGCCAGGAATTTGCCAGGCTATGCCATTAACAGAACATTTTTTTGAAATCAACAGCAATTGTAAGCAGAAAAGTGACAAGCTGAAATAAAATATTCATAAAATTCATAATTTAATTTTTCTCATTTAATTTTTCGTGGCAAACCTCCCGACACCTAAATAACAAAAAGAAGGCTTGGGGGATGTCAATTTTTTCGACAGCTTTTCCTTTTTCCACTTTTGCCCTCGGCGGCTGTCAAATATTTGATTTAACCTTGGCCTAAGCTCTTTTGAACGCCGTTGGCCACTTAAAAAGAATGGCTCTCGACACGAAAGCGTTTGAATTGAACGAGCATTCGAGTGGAATTTAAAGATTAGTGGACTCGAGAATGGACCCGCCTAATTGGGGAGCTTATTAAAGACCCCCTAACTGGCCGTAGTCATTGAACTTGAAGTTGGGCCAACTTTTTTGCGGACGAGGAACCAACCAGGAAGCAGCTGCTGGCAGGAAAAACTTTTTGCCCACTTACGGCCGAGTTTTAGCCCCATAAATTTCCATATTAGAGAGCAGAGCAGGAAGCTGCACAAACATAGTTGATCCAATTAACTGACTAAGAATCACTTAGGTTGAAAGTTTAGCCCTGGACCTGGTCTCCACTCCACTTCACTCCACTTCACATTGCTTTGAGGCATCAAAGTTATCCCTTTTAAATGCCTACTCAATCCATTCCTCAAGTGCTCGTCCTGCGAATCCTGGCCACTCACACATGTACTCCACTTCATTGTCCTGCGGTCGCTCCAAATGGAAGTGGGATTGCGGGGCTTTTGACGAGACAATTTGTATTCATTGCCACTTTAATATTTAGCGATGCGTAAGCCGATGTCAGTCACTTCACAGTAAAGTGATTTTTTTGTTCGCCCCTGCTGTGTATATATTTTTACTCCATGTTTATCCCAGTGATTTTAAGTGCAATAATTTGCATTGCAACTGACACGGTATCACTGTGAAGTGCAGTGCTTCCCGCTGGCACTCACCGCCAATTGACGAAACAAACACGCTAGTTGAACAGTTGGTAGAGAAAAAAAAAGAGTGAATTGCCAGAAAGCTATTTAAATTAACACTTCCGAAAATGTCCGGAATAATTGCCGCATTTTTATCATTTTCCCAAAGAAATACAAATCGATTTTCATGTCTGTTTCGTAAGCTGGCAGGAAATTATATAAAAAAATACTTATGTTGGTCGTTAAACAAATTTATACAATAAATGCAAAAAATTCTTTAAATACATACAGCAAAGTTTTTTAAATTTATTTTATATTGCTTTATTTGACTGTGCTTGTTTTTATTGTACTTATTTTAATGTGTTTGACATATAAGTTGTGGGCTGGGATTTATTATACTAAAATGCTGACAGTTTTGAGATATTTATATTCCACAAGGTTCATTAATTGTAATGCATTCTTTAGTTTCCCGAATCTTAAAAGAAAATAAATTAAAATTGTATTTATATTTACTGTTAAAATGAAGTCCGCATTATTATCTTTGCGTTTTTCACGGGTTGCCACAATTGTTACCAGCACCTTCCAAATAAAAATGTTTAAGTTTGCATCCATGAATCTTGCATACCCCCTTTTCAACCCTTTGGCAGGACACCCCTTTTCTTTGCATTGCAACTCATTAAAAATGTTAAAGGGGCAACAACAAAGCCAAACAACCGGCAAAGGAGGAAAAATCCGCGAGAAGGGAGATGGAAAATCAGGGAAAGATGCCAGGGCAAATGGAGGAAAAGAAAAATCCGCGAACGAGTCAAGGTGAACACACTCACTTTGGCGCAGAGATCCGTTTTGGCAAGCAAATGAAGTCGGGGGTCCGGACCTCGGAAGATACCCCCGCCCCCACCCCACGAGTAGGGAAAACACCTTTACCTTTTACCACCCATCCAAACCACCTATCCACCTTACCGAATGCATTTCCTTTAGACTTTTTCCTCGCTTCCTTTGTTTATTTGCTCAGTGCGTTTTCAGTTGACTGCATCGTGCTTGTCGTTGGTTGAGAAAGCGGGTAAAATCGGGGAAAAGCCAAGGAAAAAGCGGGAATGGGCGGGGGGAAAATGCAATAAGTCACCGATTGGCGACAGGCTGCACAAATGTGTGGCCTAGTGCGGAAAAAAAGCGTGGCGTACATAAAAATGGGTTACCAGTGCAAGGCTGCCCAAGGCAAATTACGAATACGTACGTATACGTAATACAGTTGCCCAACGTAATGGAAAGCCATAAAAACGATTTATGGCAGTGCGAAAGAGATGCCAACATGGACCGATAGGGTTAACCAAGGTCATCCCACAGGGAGAACTTGAACCTCATCCCTCCTTCTCCTTGATTTGTGCTGGTAATTGCTTGGATCGTAATGAAACAATTGCAAGGACAACATTCAAATAAATAGATATGAAGACGATTTTTGGAAATAAGTCCTAGCGTTTGTCTATAAATGCTTAAATTTAAATTTTAAAATATATTTTGAAGCATAATATTAAATACAATGCATATCAAATTGCTTTATATAATACTAAAGGATTTAAAAAACTCTTAAAAATTAAAAAAAAAGAGTTGAATTTGAAATTACTTAATGTCACTAATAATGACAATAGATGAATTTCAAAGCGAACAAAGAGAGTATAATAGTCGAACCAGTTTACAAATGTAACTTGCCATTATCTTTCCACCACACAATTGATTGAGTTTGGGGATTTGTAGATATCATTAGCTGTCCCACATGGCATTTGTGTTTGCCCCCATCTGATTTAGCCATTTATATTCACATTTCCACTGCCCCTGGCCTACGAGATCATTGGCTTCCACTGGTTCTGGTTTGCAATTAATCGTTGAAAGGATTACACGCCCCCTCATAGGAACTCGGACTCTCATCAGCCCACTTAAGTGATGCTAATTTATGGCCCCGGCACATCTTGTTTGTTTGTCTCGTCTCCGATGAATGGGGCACTTTTCCCCAGGGTCTTTTTCCCTGACTTTGCTCGTTTGCCGCTCGGCTTGTGTTTGTTTGTCCGGTGCCATTTTCACCAGGAGTTTTGCGGTAAGTTTTTAAGCTGAGATTAGGCGGCATTGTTGTCAGTTTGGTCCACCGTTGTCAGCGGCTTGTTGCTCGCTTTTCAATTGCACAAAATATCAGCTTACTTGGTTTTTGAAGATATAATAGACTAACGAAGCATAACAATTGATCATGACCGCATGAGAAGGTATTTCTTTACATTTTAAAACACTTCCAAAGAGGAAATCTTATTTGACGAATTTACTTAGATATTCAAAACTCTACTATATATTTAATAAATCAATACAGAAGCTTAAATCGCCTAACTGGTACTTTTGGTAATAGACTTGTTTATATTTATAAAATATTAAATATTTTAGATAGTAATTCTTCATTTATTTATTTATTTTTATAAAATTGTATATTTAAAGATTTTTTTTTAATTTTCCTAAAACCGATTTTCACCTTAAGGGCTATATATATCAAACTTCTTTTGAAACTATCAGAATCTTCGGCGGTATTAATCCCGGTGCCTTAATGAAAGGCCTTGTTTGAGGTCAAAGGGCACCTTTGTCCCATTCATTTGCATCCAGCTTCCATACCATCAATTTCAGTAGATTGTTATTGTTGTTGTGGTTGCGACACCAAATTGCAACCGCATCCGAATCCAACCGCCTAATCAGCGTGTGACTCGCACACTAATGAACTACGGCCGCCAATTAGCCAATGGCCACGCCCACCGCCTCCACCCTTTGCCCCACAATTGACCGCACAAGATTGAGTGGCACTGACCTGGTTCACCCATTGCCCATCGTTTGCCATTTAATGTTCTCAACTGTCATCGGTCAAAGGACTGCGTCCATCCTTTGTGCAAATCCTTGGAATTTTGAAATATTATGCCACACAGGAGGTCCGAAACAATTTTCTAATCATCAGTGGCTTAACTATTCCACTTCACTAGGTGGTGGATAGTACTGGCTAATATTGTTTCTAAGGTTTCCGAGGTGCTATGCTCATTAGAAAGCTTAATTTGCTATGACTGTGAGTAATTTATTTATTTTATTTTAAGAAATTAAAATAAATTAAAAGCAAACCGGCAAAATTAAATTAAAATTTTGTATTGACAGACAACAAGTTAAAAAAAAAAAGTTAATAAAAGAGTAAAAAGGAAATAGTGACTAAGTCGTTATTAAGGTTTAATTTTGAGTAAGTAAATTTTATCTTAATACAGTTTTTTAAAAGCACTAATAAAATTATGCAATTACAAATTTTGTTTCAAAAATGACAAAATATATATTTTTGCATCAAACCTTTCTTGTGAGGTTTAAAGTAATTTTGCGTTTAAATACCAAGTCGAAAGCGAAACGCCGAATGAAAACCAATTTTCCTCGGTCTTAACGAGATCTGCTAAGAAGATCAAGATTCTGGCTAAATTCAAGACAATATCAGAATGTTTTTTGGGTACTGCATCGTGTTGATTTTACTATCACGAGGCACCACCGGAATCCAGAACGGCGTCGATGCACGGCTTGATCTCTGGACATTTATAGCCTCTGTGTGGGTAAATGGCCATCAAGAGTGCGGAGGCAGTGTCATCGATAATCGTATTATCCTGACGGCAGCCCAGTGTGTGAAAGGTATTCCCGTGAAAAATTTAACAATACGCGTGGGTACTTCAGATCTCTATAAAGGTGGAACAATTATCGAAGTCACAGCGATGATAGTGCATGAAAAGTATCGAGAGTTGAACAACGACATTGCGTTGCTGTGGCTCAAAACATCTGCCACCTCCGATAGAGTTACCAAAATTCCACTGACCAACAGCGAGCCCTCTGAAAAAGAGTACCCGAGCAACGCAGGATGGGGCGAAAAGCAACTGGAGACCTTTGTGGCGCCCAGAAAACTGCAAAACGGAGTTACCAAAATCCAGCCACGAAAGCTTTGCATCGATGAGCTTATCGAACCGATTGGCAATGGGCTACTCTGCTCCTTCTACAGCCAAAACGACATTTGTCCCGGCGACTATGGAGGTCCTCTGGTCCTGGCCAACAAACTGATTGGCATCGCCGTCCAAGGACATGGCTGTGGATATGCCAATCTGCCCTCCCTCTACACGAATGTCTTTCACTACCTACGATGGATTGATCAGAACTCCAAAAATATCAAGAAAAATAAATAGAATATTAGCTAAAGCGTTTAAAACATATTTAAGCAATATTTTTGATCTAACAAACAATTTATTTTATTTGTTTAACAAATCAAAATTAAAAGCAGTTAATGCAAATATCATTTAAAAAACTACAACTTTTCTATTTTTGATTCCCTTGATTATGACACTGTTTATTTGAAATAAAGAGAAATTCAGGTAAAACATTATCATCAGTTCGCTGTGTACTTCGAGAATTTTTTGAACTAACTACAAATCGATTTTGTTTGATTAGCTCCTTTTTAGATATGCATAATTTACAAATAATATATAATATCAAAAGTCTGACTTTTTGTAATAATAAAGTTTTATTTTAATATGAAAGTTAAAAACTTCTCGAAGAATCAATTTAAGGCTCTAATTTATCTCCGTACAAATTGTTTACCAGCATCTCATGAATTTGCTTACGGTGCATATATGATGTAAAAACCACTAAAATCATAGTGAGTACAGAAGATTATTAAGCTTTTTAAGGACATTCTTACCTCCCAGAAAAGAACCTATAATGACAAGCTTGGTAAAATGACAGCTTTTCATTGGTTTTTCCTGTTGCTGAGGTGCTTCCAACGAATTTGGACAATTGGGACAAAGCTGCGTATCTCTTTCCATGGGAATTTTTCCCAAAGAAGAGAGTAAATCCAGTCTTAAATTAGGAGCCGAAAAAGGTTTTGCCTCCAGGCGAACAAAAATACTTTTTGAGGAGATATCACTGCGGGAAACTCGCTGGAAAATTGCCAAAGTCGTCTCGCCATTGATATAATCTCGGGGAGCATACATGGATTGAATGCAAAAGTTGTGTTTCTGCTCCAGATCCTCATGAAAATCAAAGTTATTCAGACTAATGCTGATGTCGCTGAAGCAATAGGGTTCTATACTGCCGGAACTAGGACTCACATGATAGTGCTGAGATGCATTTGATTTTATCTACAAAAGATACATGATGTTTTAGGAGATTCAATATTTTAAAAAATATATCCTCAACTCGCCTTAAACAAAACCTGTCTATCGTTGGGATTTAGTAGTGTCAGCTTTCTCTTTTGGCAGCGATCATATGGGGCATAAAAAGTCAACAGTTTAGGGTTCACGCTTAGCAAATCCATTCTTCCTTCCAAAATCTCCATTTTCAATTGGTTTTGACTTTTTTTATTCCTGTTTTAAAAGCAACCGAAATGTGTCGGAAATATGCCAGCAATCGGAATGTTTTTGACAGCATTTGCATATGCTGCCCATCGATCCGTGTGCAGTGCATGTTTTTGCATTTATTGCCACCAGCAGCTGGCAACTACGAACTGCACCCTAAATTCCCCCCAAAAATGTACCAACTGAATCGAATCGCTGACCACAGCTGGAGGCATCATCACGCATTAGCATTAGGCACTTTCCATGTTTTGGGTGCAGGCAACGCAGCAGCAGCAGCGCTTTGAAATTATTTGCAATCGATTGAACTTGTCCAGGGCAGCCGGGGATTGCCACAGCCAAACGGCCGAATGGATGATGAACTCAGCTGTCCAGTTGCCTTTTTGGGTCATTCATTTCCCTGCGGAGTACTGAGGTCTGCTGAACAATTGATGATGCCGTTTGTGGGGCACTCTCAATAAATAATGGCTGGAAGGGGCATTTGAATTTACTGCAGCTACATTTTCTGTTTAATTTAATCGAAACACAAGAAAACATCGCAAGATACTTTGCAACAGCTTTTGTTTTATTTTTTAGGAATTAAAAATCAAGATTTTTATAATTTCTACGAACCAATTTAGCTTTCCCATGATATTTGAATAGTTTCGGAGTAAAAGTCTAAGGGATCTGGTTTTACTTTGCAAAATATTTATTTATTGAAATTTAATTGGATTCAAGGAACTGGATAAATTAACTCGCATTGCGATTTATAAATTCTTCTCTAGTTATAAGCCGAAAAATCAACAATAAAACGTTTTTTTTCCCTCCTTTTGGGGCTTGCAACAAATATTTATTTTAGACAAACTTTCACCTGTCTTTGAGTGTATTACTTTCAGGGGTTCCCTAGCAATTTGTTTTATTTCTGTCTATTAATCCTTCATAATGTCTTGGATCAGCTGCTTGTAGTTGACCATTCCCAGTTCGTTGATCCTGCCCCTTAGAAGATCATCCACCTCCCATCCGCTCATGCACTCGCCGCACTGAGATAAAATACGCCGGAGTTTTACGGCGGGCAGAAATCCGGAATTATTCGTATCAAAGAGATTGAGACTGGCTGTGAACTGTTCCACTTCCATCTGCTTTTTCTGGGGACTCGACCGGCCGCCATGCTTGCCCAGGCTGCAGTATATGGTCATCACCTCGTCGAAGGATATGCGCCTCAAGGATGCGGCCTTAAGTTGACGGACATGTTCATCGATCATCGCCTCGCTGGGATTGGCGCCCATCACCCGGAGACAATTGCCCAGGTGGCGAATGGCTATCTTGTTGTCACCGCGTCCATCGTGACTGAGGAAAATCGCATGCAGTTCCAGGATGCGACGCTTCTCCGGTTTCGGGCCGGGATGTGGAGCTGTCATGTGGCCAGTTCTCCTCTGATTGAAGCCTGCTTTCGATGATGACGGATGAGTTGATGAGGGTTCACGTTGATTGCCTGTCTTGGACATCGTCACGGTTCACGAATTACGGGCTATGAATTACTGAGTACGGAATGGACAAATGCGAGCTATTATCCAATGGTTATTTGCTATTGGATGAAACTCATGGCACTGGGAAAACGGAAAACAATGATTGGAAAACACAGAAATATGATAATGCCGGACATGCTGACAGGTGAAAGATGACTGACTCAATTCAGAATTTATTTATAAATGTCATCATGTTGATTGAAATGTGTATCACTAAAAAAGATCTAAAATTAAAATTAAATAAACGATAAAAAATGGAATAAAAAAAATAAACATCTGACAATTAAATTGCAAATTGTACATTTAAAATTTAAACTATATATGTTCAATAGTATTGTTAAATACCTTGCATATTACATTGCATGATTTAATGTTAAAATATTATAATTATTGTTCAAACTATTAGATTTAAACTAGTTTCTATTCGATTTTTATGTGTTTTATTTAAATTAAATGTGGTTTAAAACTAGATATAGTTTTAAGATTTAAAAAAAATTCTATAAATTGTGTAATGCAATTTTTTGTTATATTTTTGTATTTAAAATAACTAAAAACCATTTGAAGAGTAAAGCAAAAAGTGTTCAAAACATAAGATAAATTGCATTAATTTGAATTTTTTCTGAAACATTGATTTAATATTTTATAGATCGACAGGAATTAATTAAATATTTTTCTTAATTGTATCAATGATCCAGTTGCGGAAAAAAGCAACATCGGCATAGACTCCAGGAATGTTAGAAGCACAAACCCCGCCAAATGAAACTATGCCAATTAGTTTCCGATCGGGAAGGCTAATCAACGGACCACCGGAATCGAATGTACATGCATCCTTTCCAGGTGCCCAGGCACAGATCATGTCCTTCGTAATTATAGAATTACCGTAGGCTTTTTTGCAGTCGGTTTGACTCACGACTGCTACATTGACGCCTTTTAGTATTGGCGAAGTTACGCCTTTGTCTGTTGTATATCCCCATCCAGAGACCAAGCTCATGGTTCCAGCTTTTGGAGTTGTATCAGCCAAAGCAATTTTTTTTACATTGGCATCGAATTTGAGGGGTGACCTCAAAATTAACACAGCAACGTCGTTAGGTAAGGATTTGCTTTTGTAATGTTCATGTGGTATTGCCTTTTGAACTTTCACCAGCTGACCTCCTTTGCTCCAAATCGGAGATCCAGCCCGAATCCAGAATTTCTGAAGGTTTACGCCTTCGAGGCAGTGGGCTGCAGTCAGGATAACACGGTCGCTGTATATGATGCCACCGCAGTCGTGTACCCCATTATTTAGCAGTGACACTTGCCAAGGGACATCCTTGATGGGAATATTGTAGCCGCCAACGATCCTTTCCTCAGGCCCAGGAATCCGAGCAGCAGAGAGCAGGACAAAACTTGTCAATGAGATCAGACACTCGAAGTACATTGTAACTTTGTTTGACTTTGGTTCCCAATGTCTGAACTGCAAGTTGTGCCACTCTTTTATAGGTCTGCCTGATATAACTCCATTCTAAATATAAACTAGGTCTATAAATTGGAAACTAAATTAGCCAATTTAACTATTTTTAGCATTTCATTTTAAGTTCGCTATTTTAATACGGTTGTTTTATTTTCAGCACATATTAACTGAATTCCATTCCCAATAGTCCCAATCTTTTGACAACCCCATAACTTCAATACATTATTGCTCTCATTACTCAACGTACTAAAAATAGGGGCGGCATATATATAAAAGCTTGAAACAACCATTTTTAAAATTACTTTTTCTGGAGCTGTTAATGAAGTACCCACATTTTAGTTAAGACATGGAGATTCCAAGTGTCTCAGTTACCTTTGCTTAATGAAACAAGATGGGCATGTGTTGAAGCTAGCAACCAATGGTGTTCTTAAACCCATATATTCAGTAAATCAATTGAGTTGCGGTAAAATCATCAACTTTTTAAAAAGGTTTCGCGTTGCTTAACTAACAGTGTACTTTGAACATGGACAAGGCAATCCGGTCAGGTGGTAAGTGCCTAAAATTAAATTTTACTAATTACTTAATAAATACTGATAGAAAAACAGACTTAAAAAGCAATTTTAAAGATGTAAAACATATAAAATAATTGGTTTTACTTCAACAGTTTCAAAGTTCTCAAATTTGTAATGGGTTTTTAAGACTAAATTCTAAGATTTCTTTTACTTTAAAAATAAGTAAAAAATAAATATAATAAAATTAATGCTTGCCCAAAAAATTGTACATTCAAAACAAAACAGATAAAAGATATTCAATAAATTTAGTTTTCATAGTAAACAAATTTTATTTGCATTAATAACCTTATAAATAAATTCTTTTTTGAGGTATATATATTACATATATATATTTTTCAATAGTATAGGTTTTGCTAGTGACAGAAACAGCTAACAGTGTTCTCGATCCATTTCTTGTGAACTGCAACATCACTGTAAACACTAGGCGTTAAGCATCGGAGACTTCCAGAGACGATCCCAATAAGTCTTTTGGGTGAAGTAGTAACCAAAGGACCACCAGAGTCGCCAAGGCAAGAACCGGCTCCAAACGCAGATGCACAAATTTGGTCTTTCTCCAAAAAAAAAATATTGTCTTCTGCCAATAACTCTGTCAATTTGCTGTAGGCCTTGTCACACCGCTTTCGATCTTTTACGAAAACTGTGACGGCATGCAATTTATCCGGCGTTATACCATTGGGATTATAATATGTCAATCCCCAACCACTAACGGTCGCAGGTGTTCCGACCTCAGGAGTTCTCTTGGCCAACTTAACGTTCCGTGTGAAATTATCAAATTTGAGGGAAGAGCTCAAGAAAAGAACAGCAATGTCATTTGTAAGATTTGTCACGTTAAATTTCTCATGGGAAACAGATGACTTTATCTTCACCAATTGACCGCCAGAATTCCAAGATAATGATCCGGCACGCACAGAAACATCTTTGATCTTAACTCTATACAAACAGTGTGCTGCGGTCAGTACAATCCTTTCGCTGTATATAACTCCACCACAAAGCAGGGATCCATTTTGCGAAAGAGACACTTGCCAAGGAATGTGATTCGCAACAGGATATCCATCAGCGATACGTTTTTCAGGACCTTGAAACCGTTGGGAAGACAGAGTAACGACCAGCATTATAAGAACAAAGCCTTGAAGTATCATTATTTAGCTTCTCAAACTTGTGTTGTTTTGGTGTAAAATTTCTTTGCGGAGTACATTGCAACTGGCAGAAAATCCACTCTTTTATAGGGCCTCTTATCGGAAAGCTATACATCAATGATTTAATGTACTTATTTTCTGGAATTTTTTTACTGAAGATAAAATTAATGAAATAATTAAAAATTATCTATTGTACACAATCATTGCATTGTACTATGAATATTTATTTGCGACTTTAGAATTTTAAGACTTTTATAAAGTGCAACATTTTTGACTGAAAAAATATCACGTGTAAAACATAAAAAAAATTCGTATCGCGTTTTATGGCCTTATCACAGACTTTTACATTTTTTTAAATGATTGATGGTTTTTTAAAGTTTAATTTTTGGTTTCAATATCAATATTCAGGTGAGTTTTATATTGTTACCAAGAAAATGTGTGGCTTCCGTTTCAAGGAGTCACTAATCAATGAATTTTGAATCATGTAAGCATTATTGAGGCCACCATGATTCGTTCTGACTCAATCTCAGTGCTGGCATATTTTTCTATTTCGCACAAATCTGACCTAAACAGTTTAACTTCATACAAAAAAAAATTCTGACAATGTTTTTAAATAATAACGTTGTTAAGATTTCTTAAATTGTATTTCTAATAACAACACTAAAATTAATTTTGTTTCGTCTTTTTTGCCTTAAAAATTGAGATCAGCCAACACTGTTATATTAACTTATCTTTACTCCTTCGTCCAGATGTTTATGAAATTATCGCGAATGAATAGTTACAAGCTGCACCGATGCTTGGATAAATTGGCATCGATGCTTCGTGCGACTTTACCAAGTTAACAGCAAGGTTTTTGCATCGCCCAATGCTCATAATGCACTTTGCATGTAACATATTTAATTAAATGAAAAATAGCAAAGCCCGGAGGAGCAACGTCCCGCTTTTGGTTACCGTGTGGCATCGGTATCCTTGCACACTGCCATCCTGACGAGGGCCGCAAAAAAGTTTATTTGTTTCGTGGCTGCCTCAGTCAGTCTTCATTTATTGTAAATGAGTTTGCCGGGCCACGATGCAGGATACGGGATACTGGGGGGCTTTTTGGGGGGCGGGCGAAAAGGATGCGCATATATGTATGCGGTCCAAAGGATGCATATTGAATAAGAGCTCCGCACGCAAATGGCATTCCAATTCAATTCCGATTCCCAATGCAAATAATTTGCAGGCGAATGCTATTATTGACGGAATGCTATGGCGAATATGTTAATAACATTTAATTTACTGAACACTTCGTCTTTAAATGGATGCAAATGACATGAGGTTTTGGGCCCCCGCAGGATGAGTATTTTTTATTTAGTCACTGGGGCTCTGGAGTACCATGATGAAGTAATCCTCCTGCGGACACAGCATCACCTCGTGCAGGAGCGTCCGCAACCGCAGAAAGGTGAATTCGTTGGTGGCGTCCAGATCCAGGACCACCTGGCGAGCCTTTTCTTTCAGCGTTTGCATCAGGGCAGCGTAGTGCAGGGTCAAGTTGTAGTCCAGGGTCGTCTTGATGGCAATACCATCGTTGTCTATCACCACTATGCCGACAATGTTCTTCATCGACTGGAAACGCTTCAGCATCTCCTCAACTTCGGCCGACATTTTTGTATTTTAGTTTTTCTATCGATTTTTTAGTGTAGAAGTGTATTTACGAAGAATGCTTTTAATTCTTACGAATAATAACAATAAATGAGCGAAGTCTCATGGCATACCAAATAAAAGAACACATTGTTTGAGAACTTGCTTTGCTGTAACTTGGCCAAAATAAGGCGCACAGCCATAAAACTGACTGTTTTGGGCAGCTGGCGACCAATACTAGTTATACCCTTCCATCCCCGGTTAATTTAAAAAAAATATTTTTTTAACCATTTTGTGCATTTTTTGTATTATTTTTGTATTTTGTATTTTTTGGGTTACATCATCATTTTTGGCGAAAATGTAAAATTTTTTAACAATTTTAGCTGTGAATTGGACGTTTTATGACGAATTCAACGGTGTATGACTATCCAAGTTTTGACAACTACTTCCCGTGGTTTTTGTACAAAAACTAATTATAAAAAGTGTTTTCTTAAAATTTTGCTGTAACTTGGCCAATTTAAGCCACATTTATTCACAGTGTATTGTCGAGGGGACTTTGTCATATTACTGGTCCACTTCATCTGCCAGTTTAACGAGTCAATGCAAGTTTTATGATGTTCGGCATAATCCGGCAGTTGCTGGTTGCTGTTGTGTCCGTAAATAAGCATTCAAGTTGGCAACAATTCCGGATGTCGGACTGCAAAAGTTTCGCTTTTGTGGATGGCAAAAGTACGGAAAATTAATTGAATGCTGTTGATGCTGATGCTGATGCCAATGCCCCATCCTCCGTGCTGATGGTGATGGCGATGCTGATCCTGGTCCTGGTCCTGTTCCACTCGAAATGCAGATGAAATGTTTGGCATCAAGTTCGAGGCGGTGCGGAAATTATGCCACTCTTCCGGTTCGACCAGACTCCGGCAGACAAAAGCCGGACTACGGACTGCGGACTACGGACTACGGACTTCGGACTTCGGGCTACAGACTCCGGCTGAGTTGTTATGAAAAGAGTGTAAAATTGTTCACTTTTTAAATTAATTAAAAGTCTTAAAACTCATAATGAAATTACTCAAACGAGCAGACAGCCGAACAAAATGGTCGTAAAAAGGAATTGGGTGGGGCAGTGCATAGTGCATATATGCAAATTCCTGGCCAGACTTGAGGGAAATTAAACTTTTTTCCCGACTCCTCGGCCGGCAAGGGAAGGAAATTCATTTGGTAATTAAATCAATGTCCATGCGAAAAACCTCAAATGCAATTTGTCATGCAATGCCGGAGAAGTCAAAATGTGGAAAATACACTCTCTAACTTCGTTAAATGGGGGTTTGGAAATGGGCGGGAAAATGTGGAAAGCGGCTTTGCATTTTATTGCATATTTGTTGAATAAATAGCTCGTTTTGTACGCTGTCCAAGCAGCAACATAAAAATAATCAAATTGAAAAGCAAACAGGAGAGTCCAAGTCCTTGATCCTGTTTTCACGTTGATGCTCGCTCACGAAACTAAAATATTTACAAATGTTTTGGCAATTTATGCAACTTGCAAACATTCGCATTTTAGTAGTTACAAAGTCAGGGCAAAACAAAAACATGTTTTCATTCTAGTATGCAATTTTGTTGGACCAACTCCATGCAGAAATATAATTTGATATTTATGAAAACATGTTTTGTCCTGCTCTTTTTTGATAATAATTTAACTTTGTTATTTATGCATAGAATTTGGCATGGCAATGTCACAAATCACATTTAATTTGTTTGGCCTTTCAGACTTTGAACTTTAAAATATTATAATAGTGGAAATCTACTACTGCGATTTAAGTCCTTTATTGTATTGATTTTTGACTCGTTTAATGAATCTGTAATTAATTGCAAATTAATTGATTTTTTTTAATAAACATGCCTGGTCAAGTTTTATCATTCATCTGTCGGATTTCCTCTGTTTTGTCACCTTTCGTTTCCTGCACTGCATTTGCATAACCTCATTTAATAAAGAATAATTTATTAATCAACGAATCATTGGCCATATTTGAGCATTTCTGCAAATATTTCAACAATGTCCACAAGGTGATAATGAGATCAACATACCCTACCATACTGAGAACCACAATTTAAAGTGGCAAATTCGAGTAAGTGAGTTATGAAGCAGGACAAGATAATGAGAATCGGATTTCATTTGCAATTAGCAACGGGCACACGCATACATTACATCGTAACCCGTTTCATACTCTCAATGTTGGTTAATTTAATTCTGGCCAAAATTTAAATTATGATTGAGCATAGCTGCTGTTGTGTACGTGCCAGCTTTGTTCTTAATTGAATTTTAAATAAATGCCGTGTCGACTATATAACTGTAATTATGTGAAAAGGTGGAAAATTCAAATAAATTTAATCTGACTCTGTTTATTTTTTTATTTAAAAACTTTAGGAAAGACTATTAAAATTTATTTAAGAAAGTTGCTTTTAATTTTAGTCAATTTAATTAAATTGATTTATTAATTATGTGTTATAAAATAATACAATTTTACATACCTATTATACTTTGACTATTCTTTTATTTTTTATTTAATCTCTGAAATCTTAATTTGTAAAAAAAAATAAAATCAATGTATATACATATCAATTTTCACTGATAAACGTTGATCACAAAAGTCCCAGTAGAGCTTTGAATCTTTTGAAATAAATCACAAGGCGTATTCCCAAATATGGCGACAATCGCACCTGAAGTGTCAAATGGGATAAAAAACAATGCAGAAATCCAGGCAAATCGCTTCCTGCCTCCGCCTGCAATCTGATTTGGAGCGACTTAAGGTCCTTTAATAAAATACTCCGATACTGGGGAACCTGGTAAAGTGTGACACTTTTTCATTTGACGCTCGCCTGCGCTCACAAAGTCATAAGCAGAAATGCCGGGGGATACAAATTTAAATTAAATATTATAGCGTGGAGCCTGTAAAAGCAGCCTTGGGGGCCAGATAAATGCGTAAACAGGATACCCCACTGTGTTCAAGGATGCCGATGGGGGTGTGAATCTGTTTGTCTGCACCTGATGCCTTTTTGTTGGGCTTTTTGGTATTTTATTACATTTCTCTGTTTGCATTCTTTTGTGTGGGTGAGTGTATATCTTTGGATGAGCCAGCTTTTGGCTTTTCAACCTATCTCATCTTGGTAAATGAAATGAACATTTTGCTAGAGTAAAATATATGGGTTGGGTGGCCATAAAGGGATTTATCGACTTTTTAAATAAATATTTTTTGAGTTATTTTCAAATCAATTTTGTCAAACGGAATTTATTTTAGTATTTATTAATTTATTTACATAATTTTTTCGATAGAAAAAGAAATTCTTATATTTAGGATGCTATACACTAAAAAATACAATAATTTTCGTTAGATTAGTTTCATGACATTTCCTAAACTTTAATTTTCAAAACTTAATTATTTATATATTAAAAAACTTTGACTTCAGTATTGTTGGCTATATCGCGAAACATATTATAAGCTTTTATACGACTTTTACGCAGAACCACTAAATTATCATGGAAAAGTACTATTGGTTTGTGGAATGTTAGATCTTGTATTTCTGTGCTATATGTGTTACTAACAGACTTTCAGAATTTGCTTTCACTTAAGAATTGAGATAGATTAAAAAATTATTTTAGAATCTTATGAACGCAAAACCTAACTCACAGCTTCTGTTTTTTTGAATATTTATCGTCATATTGAACATTTGATGAGCCGCCTTTCACTTTACTCAATTATGTATTACCCATTTAAGCTTAGTTCGCCTTGTGCCACTTTAATGCCTAGCAGACCCACAGCATTTGCTTATCAAAGTAAAAAACTTCTATCATATTTAACGAAAAAAGGTCAACAGAGAATAAAATAGGAGAAAAAGGAAAACCTTGACATCACCTTTTTCAATCAACTAAAAAGTGTCTTGTTTTGCCACCCACTGCCACCCACAACCAGCACCACCGACTTTCTCCTTTCTTCTTTCTCTGCGGCACCACTGACTCAATAAGCCGGCATTTTATTTGCATTTTTTTCGTCACTTGCCCGCCGTCGGTCTGTCCCAAAAGGCTGTCTGTCGTCAATTCTGCCGCTTCGTTGGCTGCCAGCCGAGTTTTTCACTTTGTGCCCCCAACGTTGCTCTGTGGAAGGTGGAGTGAAGGGGGAGTGGCATTGTGGTGGGCGGTGGGGTGTGGGTAGAGAAGGAGGCTGGAGCCATCGGCGGCAGCAAATTCATCATCGTCTCAGCACGCGTCTGTCAGCCGCGCTAAGGATACAATAAATGTCTTTCGCGGTCGCCCATTTCACTGACAGTGTGTCCTTCCCCAATGTGTCCTGATAGCCTTGATTACACTGAGAAATACAAAACACTACCAAAACGGCATTTGTTCAAAAAGAAATTATCAACGCTTTAAAATTTTGTTTTAAGAAATCCTCAAGCTGGTCTAAATAACAAATTCGTTATAAAAATTCTGTAAGATTTTGGCGTTTTATGAATATAAATAATAATTAATATATTTTAGTGTATTTTAGTTTATAATTTTTTTTTCTGTAAGTATTTTGAATTAATATATTTTAAGCAGTGTTCTTCAATCTTTTAAAATAGAATCAAAATTTCGATATATTAACACAATCAATAAAACCATTTTTTTGGTGTACCCATCGGTTTGTTTATAGCAAGTACACCCTGTACGGTTGTGTGAGTTTGAGGTTGAGTGAAATACTCTGTCGGATTAATATGCAGTAGCGCTTTGCATTTTTATGTAGCCTTCCTTGGTTTGTATCGTCATTTTCCGTTGCTGTTGGCTTATTCATTTGCCTTCGCCTGTTTTTTCCTCCGTTTTTGTATATATATCTTTTTTTCGGTTTTTCCTCTTAGCTGAGAGGCTCAGGTGCACTTTGGGGATAACAAATTAAACAACTTTATGCAAGTGGAGCTGAATAAATTGCGTCGGGTCGCGCAATATGGATAAACTTGACATAAGTAGCTTTTTCTGGTTATTTTTTATTATTGGTTTTAATGAAACTAGTTTTAACTCTAGCCCAAAACGATTTAAATACAAGTAGACGATATTAAGTACGAAATATTTGATTTCTT